AAACAAGTAGCAAGCGTCAATTTGAGATCATAGCGGTGGAATTTTTTGGACCCTTGCTAAAAATAAGGATAGCTATCAATGGATCATGATTGCACAGGATGTAGCTACACGCTGGATGGAAATTACCCATTGACAGAAGCTACCGCTAGTAACTGTAGCAGAATCCTGATCAAAGAAGTGTTTCTCCGCTATGGTATACCCTAAAGTCTGGACACATACAATGGAATGCAGTTTGTGTTCGCCATAATTCAGCAAGTGACACATTACTTCGGTATTCAGCAACGGTTTATCCGCACGTATCACCCAATACTGCATACTGAGTTTAAGCTTAGTTTGGATGACAAACAGAGTTAAACTCGCACAGAACTTGACCCCAAAAGGAACTAAATTAGCATTGGCATTGACAGTAAAATCTTACTTTAATTCCTGAGCAATTGCCGCAATCTGTTCGACACGATCCTGATGAGCAGCTAAATCGGATTCAAAAGCCTCATGCTTTTTCTTGAGGGCTTTCAAGTCATTTAATTTACATTGACGGAAGTCTTGAGACTGCAACATCTCTTCTTTTCCGCGAGTCCAATCCTCATGAGCATCAGCCTTTTAAAAAATTATAAGAATAAACAAATTTAACGCAACAACTTTTCGAAAATTGTAAATCTACCTTGTGCTTGAATTTTTGCGCCAGATGTTCTAAGCGTTCCAAGCGCATTGTTTCAGCAAGAAGCCATTCTTCAAATGCCTTTTCCGCTAACTCCAGTCCTTTCCAAGCATTCGAAATATCAGCGACCGTCTTGCCCTCGGTCGGTAGATATGCCGGACGGTTAGATAAGCGAAGTTTTGTTTGCAAAGTATTGAAGTTTGTTTCGAGTTTTGCTTTTTGTTCCACACGTGGCGGCTTGTGCTTGCGACGATAGGTTCGGTATTCTTCTAACTTCTTTTGTACACCGGCCAACGAATTGTCTGCCTGGCGAGAGTTTAACCATGGCATTGTCCGGCGTATCCATTCCAAAAGCTATCACAATCGAAAAAATCATAAAAAACGGCACATCATTTACAAATATTACTTACATCGCTTGCAAGACGTTCGTACTCCTCCATGAGGCGCTCATTCTCCTGGTTCACCTTAAGCACTTTACAAATACGGTTAGCTGCCGTCTCCGCCTAACAGTAGATAAAATACTTAGTTGTAAATAATTGCGAAATCACTTTCGGAAAATTATATTGGAATGAACGCCCTATAACGAAAGTAAGGCAATTAAGCAATAGCAAAACCAAGCGATTAAAAAGGGGTGTTACTACGCCGTGTACTTACATAAAAACAAGGCTTTTAACCTTGCATGTATTAATTAATTATAATTTTGTATGTACTTCTATATGGATAACACTGTTTGTTGTGTAATTTTGTACTCATTTTACAGAAAAAGAGGCAACAACAAAGCCGTAAATCCTTATAAAGTGAAATTATAGGCCAAGTCTGACAAAACCTTTGATTTTAAAAATACACCCACTGATCAAAAGTGTTATTCACATAGAACAATGAATATTATGTATTTATGATGTTGCTAAAATTTTGTGACGAAAACCGACCTTTTGAGCGCCACTAAAGCAATGATAATACGATGACACGTACGTCATGACTGCTCTTTCATCTGGCAACGCAGTATTCTGCAAGTCTGTTAGGATGCAAGCAAAGAAAAAGCAACAAATAGAACACAAGTTAGTAATATAAAAATTCAAGCAGCCTGCAACTTTTTGATAGAACCTATTGCCTATAATACTTATAAATAAAGATAAGTAAAGCAGTACTTGATAATTGCAAACCCTGGAAACTTAGTAAAACAATGCAAAATCCACATGCAGCAGATTGTTAAAAAAATGGGTGCACACGTGCCAAAAAATATTCAAGAAGATACATTCAGGCAACGGGTGACAAGGATGAAAGCGATGATCGATGGTATTGGATCTAGACCACATAGAAATGCCCAAAATACAATAGCGCGGTGGCAGTGACAGTTTTTTAACTCAGCTGTTTTTTTTTTTAGAAAGTATGCTGACCAATGAAGCGACACAGAACACACCTGTGGCAGCTGGCAATACTGACAAGCTTACTTCGTCTTCTTCAACTTCGCGTTTTGAATTTGATTTACCCTGCGATTCAGTAAGCGGCCTCTAGTCACTAATAGTGACTTTTGGTGGTGATATATGGATTTCGAGACTATTTGTAAGCTGTCTCACGTCTCAAGTCTCAAAATAAAGTCACTAATGTGTCAGCTGGAAGGAAAAGATAACTGCTTTATTTAAAAAAAACGCGAAAATGAAGCGAAGAAATATTTGTTCAACAATTTAAATAGGAAATAAACCAAAATGCTTTCATATCATACAAATTCATTGAAACAAATTTATTTTTTGTTTTTAAAACATTAAAATCTAAAGATTATGTAAAAAAAAATAAAACTAACAAAAAAAAAGAAAAAAATAATAATAAATCCTCAAGTCCGAAGATGACCCGGAGCTCTCGACCGGCACCCTAATGCTTTGACCACTCGGCCATTGCGACTCTTTGAGCGGCGCGGGCAAAAGGCATACATACATAAACGCTATCAGTTGACTGTCTGTGTTTGTTTCCACCACACATTTTTGTTGAACTTTTTGTGACTCTCTCCTACAGAATACCCAAATCATTTCAAGTCACAAAAACAGTCACTAATTGCTAGTCTCAAATTTAGTGACTTGAGATGAGACTGAATTACTGAATCCCAGGGTTAGTATATGAAACGAAGACAACTTCTGTATGTCACTGAAGACCATAACACAACAACAATAATGTACAAAAGAATAAATGAATGTCAAATAACGCATTCACTGCCAACGCCCGATTGTGTTTGCTGCGGCAGTCACTGCTAATATTAGCGGTAACAGCTGATTTCTTTCACTACTATTGCGCTATTATATTTTGGGCTAACGAGTCATTGCAAATTTGCTTCAGCTGTGTTCACAAATGCTTACATAGACACACACATATATTGTATATACAATGTCCTTAATTGTAGGAGGTAAATTTTTACATATGATTTCCTAAGCCTCAGATATCACATATAAATTTTAGTCCCGATTGGAGACAGTTAAGGCGTGTCGCACAGGGGGCAAAGTTCAGATTCATTCCTCTATGGAAGCTCAAAAAATTAAAATTATTACTTTTTCATCTAATACCCAAAATCGATACTACTATAGTCGAAGATATCACATATAAATTTTGGCCCCGATTGAAGTCGGTTAAGGCGTGGCGCACAGGGGTCAAAATTCAGATTACCCTATGAAGACGTCTTAACAGACTCCAATCGGGACCAAAATTTGTATGTGATATCTTCGACTTTAGTAGTATCGATTTTAGGTATTAACTAAAACAAATATTTTTAATTTTTTGAGTCTCCATGGAGCATCTGGCCTTGGACCCCATCGCGACATACCTTAACCGACTCCAATCGGGACCAAAATTTGTATGTGATATCTTCGAATACGGTAGTATCGATTTTGGGTATGAGTTGGCAAAAAACTAATAATTTTAATTTTTTGAGTCTCTATAGAGGAATCTGAACTTTGGCCTCGTGCGCCACGCCTTAACCGACTCCAATCGGGGCCAAAATTTATATGTGATATCTTCGACTATAGTAGTATCGATTTTGGGTATTAGATAAAACAAATATTTTTAATTTTTTGAGTCTCAAAGTCAAAATTTGTATGTGATATCTGTGACCGTGGTATTACCGATTGAAGGGGAGAGACTGAAAGAAATCGCTCATTTAATTTTCAAGGACCACCCTAATATACATACATCTGTATGTATAAATATGTATACGTTCATTGGTGTATTGTACCGTATTCTTAATGCCTGTTTTCTCAAAAACTAGTTTCTGATACAAGAATCTACCTTTGACTTATCTGTTATCTTTAATATTAATGTGAGGTTTACACAAGGCATATCAAACAGGTAGCATTAGAGCAAAAACAACATTTCCGTGCATTTTGTTGTTGCTTCTGGTATCGAAAGTGTCATAAACTGTTCTGAGTTTTTTCTTCTAAATCAAAGCGTGCCATGTGAAATACAAAAAAAAATAAAAAATTTAAATTGGAAAAAATAAAAATTTTTGCAACTTTCTTTCTTAGAAAAGCAATCCTTTGCAAGGCCCAGTAATCAGCGGTTGTGCTGCTGACCTGGGCGAATGTTCCAAAAGCTGCTATTCAATCGCTTGTTTCGTATGGAAAAAGGTTTCACATGCAAATACCCAGTGGGAATTAGGAGCACGTAATAATACCTTATTAGCAACTTACTCTTCACCTGGCAGTCATTACCATTTCCCTGCCGACCGTCCCTTACTTTTACAAAGGCATGGCCGCCTTATGTAAGTTGGAATTTAGAATGTACATTTGGTATCAGACATACTTCTGAGCCGCTTTACAAAGTAAGTTACGTGTAATGCAGAGCAGTCGCTCGGAGTAGTTCGGTGCTTGGAAATAACTTCGGCTGCACGTTATTTTGCAACTGACAACGTAATGTGTCTTCGGAGGTGTTCATTTTGCCCTTTACTAGTAGATGACATTGGCCATGATGACAATTTTGGTACTAAAAACTGAAAGAAAACATGGCTTACCTCGCAAGGTGCTTACCTATTTTCCCAGTGGGTAGATTCCAACAATATACATACATAGAATTTTTGTAAGAATAAATTAAAAATAATTGAAATTTGACCAAATAATTTGAAAAAAAAAAATCAAATCATTTGCTCTACTGATACTACCTGTTCAATGTGCCTTGGGTTTACAGTAAAATTTATTTTTGGTTTCCAAAGTTAGAATTAACATCAGAGATGGCAGTCACATATACAGGTGAAGGCATTGAGTCCCTGCAGTAAAGTTTGGAGACAGTCTGGCAAAGCGCTGGTTCCGAACTACATATTTCAAAACTATCTCTGAACTGGTGCAAAACGGCTGCAGAGCGGGACAATTGAAACTTGCGGTGTAAGTGTACTAATTCTTACTTCTCGTACAATATGAAAGTAGCTCAGCGAGAAGACCTCGGACTCAAGCATCGTTGGTCGCGAGTTCAAATCGTGGTGGAGTCAGTTGTGAGTTTTCAGATTTAATGAATTCAAATTGTTGCGTACAATAATTTTTTTGTTATAAAATATATAACAAACATGGAATCTGTAAAAGAAAAAAAAACGAACAAAATATCCCAAAATAATCTTAAAAACGTTTTCTGGGCGACAATTGCCACCGCCAATGGCATCGCCGTATAAAAGTAGACAGTTGAAAGCATTGTTTGGGTATTGAGCTAGAACTAGTACTGTCGGCAAAAGGTCTAGCTTTGAGCTAGTCAGATTTTCTGCAGGGATATAAGACCTCTATACATACAATGTATGTCCTAAATAAACAAACTAAATTTTATTGGAGCGGCAAAAAACGCAACACCTTTGTTGGGAAACTTCAATGACGATTCTAAAAAATCTAGTTTATCTATTGTTCTTAAATACGTACCTATGTTAATGGCATGTAGTAGATATACGTTGCTGTTTTTCTTTTTATACCATATCGATATTTAAGCAAATAATTATATTACCTTGCAACCTAAGTGTCTAAAATCATGTTTTTCCTAAAATGTAAATTTTATTTCAGATTACGGTAGAATACCTATCCAGTAGAAATGGGTGTGGCGGTTTTAGGGCTAAAGTAAAGTAACATCCAGATTTTTTCGGATTCCGGCAAAATATATCTTTGTTAACATTTGTTCCGCTAATTTTGCTTAATCGAAGAATATTCTGGCAATGAGCATGCCAATTTTTTTACCAAAGAATGTCTATTCACTTACAATGTTTGTTTCGCAACTTCTTTTTGTAAGATAAGAAAGTTTTATTTTGAAATTATTGCAAATTAATTTTTTCAAAGCTACAGAGTATAAAGAAGGGGGTAACCCGGCCATGTACTTCAAATAGGAGTTTCACACTTTACTACACATTCGCATTTTTTAAATGTTTAAAAACATCAATAGCATTTTCTCAGCGTAAGTAATGTGGAAGGTATAAGCGTTAGAGTAAATGACTATTTTCGAAAATGAACTATGCATGTTTTTGATCAGCGCCGTAAGTTTTCAGTACCATGCGAATTTTTAAAGTTCATTTCCCCACTAATTTGATATACAAAAGATTTTAAAATAAAACCCTTTTTAGGGGTCGGCAACGCGCTCTGTACCAATTTTTTGGTATAGACCATGCAGCTTTTAAAACCTGGGTTAATACATATGTATGTTTTGATATGTTTTCGGACACGTACTCCAAAATCGGCTGCGTTTCAGAGGTCGGCAAATGGTTTTGTTTATGAGCTACACATCCCTAAATCTATATATCTCAAAGAACTATATAATTTACGTAGGTTGTCATTAAAAAAGTTCCTATTAATATATGGTTTTTCCCAAAATATATTTAAATTTGAGAGCTTTTCTCGAGATCCTTCCATATACATAAATCTGTATACATATGTCAATTTTTAAAAACCAAAAAAAGGAACCTTGCTAATTAAAAGCCGTATTCAAATGCAACTAATTAGCCTGAAATCTAGATTTAGTTTTATTAAGAGTTAAATAAGTACACTTGACAAAGAAACCTATAGAATAAAAAGAAATGCATGCAATAGTTGGAGATATTTTCGAACTATGGGAATCAATACCTCACCTATACATATACCAACTCAAGTACATATATGTATGTGTGTAAATACATAAGTACATATGTAAGCACAGGCGAAAGCAAAACGAATAAGAGACACTCCTAGATCCATTTCTTTATGAATAACTGTTGTGTAATTTGCCTTTTGGAAAAGTTAATATTCATAAAATAGATTTTTGTTTCACAAGTTTAATTTTGATTTCACGAATATTATTTAACTTTACTCATTTCTATGCAAGGAGAGTGTATAGTGGCACAAATTTACGAAAATTACGCCACAAAGAAGTAAAGGCTAGTTAAAAAACAAACACAATGCAATTAAAAACTGTGAGCGTAGAGAGCTATTAGCATTTAGCGCGTAGCGTATTATGTAAAATAAAATCTTAGTATTGTCCACAAACTGGGCTAGAGCGCCTTAGTTCTATTTAGATAAAGTTCGATTTGTGTAATAAGGTCGCATTTTCCAAAAAACAAACTGTAAAAGAATAAAATGAATAAGTGTATTGATGTGAAGTTTAGTCACATTGTAATTCGGGACGTAGGTGTATTGTCTTGTGGGTTCGGGTACATGCGTCACATTTCCAACCTGTTGGGCTCCCTGGAAGGCGTGATAGTAACAGGACACGTATGTCATAATAGCGCGTTCATCCGGCTTAGGAGTGTTGATCAAATCTAGCAGATAATTTTTTTAAGGTTGTGGAGAATTTATAAAAAATTAAAACTAATTTTAATTTGGGTTTTATCATATTATATGAGCATTAAAATACTATATACGTACATACATAAATAAATTACTATATGCATACATTCGATTGGGGGTTGTATATATCACGTCTTGTTAGACCTTAGCGGACGTGGTGAATGTTTATGAAAAAATAATTCAGGTCTACAAAAAATCGTTTTAAGAAAAAGGCAAAAACAACATTCATATTTCTAGGGTACAATCAGAAACCGTTTTTTCAGATTGGTTCTTGTTTGCGAATTATTGTAAAATTCAAAAAAAAAATGTTTGGTTTCCAAATGTCTAAAAGCTATATCATCACCATTTATTTATGCAAACGAATTCGCAATATTTGATCTCGCATGAATAGGAAAATCATACTTTGATATACTTTTGTCTACGCCTTGGTATCATATAGTCGAATATTCTTTTTTCAAAAATAATACGAAAAAAAATCGAGGTATCCCAATTGCTTCTATAGTGTCATAACTCAAAAAAAGCAAAACTCGAGAAAAACGGCTTTAAAGTTTTGGATTTACATATACTGCCACGGTAAAAATTAAAACATATTTTGTCCTAGTGCGATACGGTTTATCGACACAGCTAGGAAATTTTTCCACAACGTACTCAGTAGCACCAAAGTCAAAAATGCATCAAAATATTTTGCGTATTTTTTGCATCGGCGTGATATACATTTTCAATATAAATAATATGCCATTTCTAAGCGCAGTGTTTTAACAGTTTATTTGGATTCAGTGTTAAGGTTATACCGCTTTTTCGTGTATTATTTATACTGTAAATACACGTAAAATTTTTATACTGATTTTCGGTATATACATATATTACGCCAGTGGTATACAAGTTTTCTTGTTTCCAGAACATTAAATAAACTCCGTTGGTGTAAATAATACACCATAATGGTAAATAATTTACATCATATATACTTTCATGACTGTGAAGAGTAAAAATGATTGATGAAAAATTTACTACTAATCAAATTTATAATTAACTCGGACATAAAATTTACACCGAAGCTTGTTTTTACCTTCTTACCTTTCTTTTATTAGCTCGGGATGTAACTATGTAATATTTATGCGCCTAAAAGATGCAGCGATTTCTATTCTCAAGTTACTCACCTGATGACAGTACGAATGGCAATTATAATAGGGAGGTTTTAGTTTTTTAAACTATAATTTTTTAATCTGCACGACTTGGATAAATCTCAGCATTCCTCTTCATAATATGCAGGCATGTGAGTTCCTAATTTAAAAACGAGGTACATTCTGTCGAGTGAATTTCGGTCCTACCCACTCAAAAAATCGTGCGTCTCAAAATGTATAAGGATTTTAAGATTTTTAAATAAATCTGGAAAAACTTATATTTTGAAAGCAATGGTTTTTTGGCCATTATTAAATTTTTAAGAGATGCGCTGTTTAAAAAACGGTGGAAAATACCCATAAAGTGGCATAGTTGAGCCAATGTACATAATGAAATTAAATTAGTTAAATTATAGCATTTTCTTTTCTCAAAAAAAGTTCTGCCCTTTTATATGGGAACTCTTGCTTTGCATTGCCCTGAAACCTGAGAAAATGTTGCGTTCTTTATATGAGAATGAAACAGAAAATATACTACTCCATCACAATTTATTTAAAGAACTTAATAAAGCTGAATTATTCACTTGGCCTGTAAGTCTTTAACAATTTTAAAGCAAAACACTTATTTCTGATAGGGAAAATAATTGCATTTTTACAAGATTAAATTAAAAATCAACCATGCAACTCTCACGCTCACGTTTATTTGAGGGCAGAAAAGGCAGCACTTTCGCCGGATCAGAGCGCAACCTTCTGAGAAAAGAACACGACGCCTTGTGAAAGGGCTGAGAAAAGAACATGAAAATGTGACAGCGCTAACACAAGGCAGAATAAGTGCAGCCTTTTTTCGAGAAAAGAAAACGCTATTAGTTAAATAAAAGCCATACGGCTTTAATATGGGGGCCCGCCGAGTTTCAGTATTAGTTTACAACCTAGCGTATTAGCATAGCGAGAATACAACAAAATCGCTTCTAACCATCATTTACATAGTATTTCGTGTTTATCGCTGTGCAAGCAAATAAAAAATATACGTTTTGTTAAAACAAAACTTTTTCTCATATTTAAACCCCAAAAAAATAAAAAAAAAATGTACATATGTACATATTTATGTACATATATAATAAATTAAACATCTCTTCTACTGCTATTATATACAATACAATATGCTTAGGTTTCGGCATAAATTGTCAAAAGGTTGTAGAAACAAATAAACATATATAAGGGGAGCTGTTACGTAGCAATGTATCACAAGTTTTGTTGCTTTCCAAACAACGAAGTTTAAAAGGTGTTCGCACGAGGCGATTTTGCGTTAAACTTTGGCATTCAACTCACGCAGGGTGGCGGTATGCAGAATGTTGCGGTGAATATCCCCCGACGGCATCGCTCCGTCCGACGAAATTCGCTCAACGATTTGGTTCTGTTTATACTTTATATGAGTCGTTTTTTTTTGTAAATGGGCATAAGTCATTTCCACCTCTTGTTCTTGAATGGTTGGCTACTTCTAACTGAATGCATCTGTAAATCGCTCTACCGTCATTAACTAATGACGAAACTTCTTACCTTTGGCTGATGAAATCGACGCGTTCACATACGGTTAAATGATCACTGAATTCAAACGGCATAAAATGACTTACGCAACTTTCAAAACAAACGGCTCATATGTAATTTGTAAATATAAGCGAACAAAAACAAATGTTCTAGGGACTTATTAGTATGTTCCAGTCAAAGCAGAATACATATGCAGCAGAACTGTACAATTTCAAAAGCCTTCCCAGGATTTTGGAAGGACCTTGAAATTTGAGGAAATATTCAGTAGTGCGCATCACTCGCCTCGCAGTAAAGTATATGGCTCCATTTTATATATATGTATATGTATTTGTAGAAAATTGTTCGTTAAAAATACTAACGGTGCAACTAAATTTTTTAATATATCTTTGACAAATAATATTCCATTTACGAAATCTTTACTAGATTAAACGCCGGATTTGCAACTAATGGCTAAACTATTTATGTTCTTCTTATTTGTTGAATTTAACACTTTCATATTCGTTTTCATAAATAAAAGTTTCCCATTGTAAAGGAAAATATAGCTTTCAGAATTTTAGCAACCAAACCATTTGTAAAATTAGCAAAAATTCGCGAACCAGAACCAAATTGAAAATGCGAAGAGTATACATATTCGGAATAAACGTCTTAAATATATGTACCATAACAATTTGAGTGCTGTTCTTGCCTTCTCTTGCCTATCGATCAGTGTTATTAATACAAAATTTCAATTCAATTGGATAACGTTAAGGCGTACCATCAAAGCTGGTATATAGAAGTTGTATTCTATATTTTAAGTTTTTTCACCATTGCCTGCCGTTCCTTAATCGGCACAAGGTGATTCCTGTAAATCTATGGTTTCACACTGCACAGTCAACGCTTCTTCGGTCGGATAGGCTTGAAACCTGTTTTCCATTTTTCCTAAAAACAATCTTGGCAAAAAGCTCAATAACCTTGTTGAAATAAATATTACGCCACACTAACAATAACAAAGAAGTAGTTTGGGATCAACCGATCTAAAGCTATACAATAATTCTAATTAATGTATAGAACTAATAATAACAACCACGCTGTCAAGTTGAAATAGCGGCGAGACCGCCGCACTTGAGTGGAAAAGGTTGTACTATAAGGAAATCGATCAGCAACAAGAGTTTACGGGCCGTGCTTAGTTTAGTGGCTAGCGTTTCTGAGTTTTCACATCGATGATTCGAGTTCGATCCCTGCTGAAGTCTAAAGGAAAAAGTGTTAGGAGGAGATGTGGTGATGTGGTGATATCTGAAACAGCAGCTATCACTTCTGCCGCTTAGACTTTGTTGTTTTTCGATTTTTCAGGATTGGAAAATGCTGTAATTTTTTAATTTACCCCTCTATTCTAACAGAGTCACAACACTTAGCTCATCACTGTTGTGATTTCTAGTGCGCCGAGAAATGTGTCACACAAAATTCGATTTTGAGTGCTAGAAAAATACACAAAAATTTAAAAATTTGTATTGTAGCGGCATATTTTTTGCAGCGGCACGCTTTGAGGCGCAGTAGAATTCACAGCAGTTATGAGCTAAAGTTTGTGACTTTGTTAGAATACGGCTGTTAATTTGATTTTACTGAGCTTTGACTTCGGCATGTATGATATTGAAAGCAAAGCAACAGCAATCAAGAAAAAAGTGAATGTTTTGGCTGCCGTTTTGCTATGAAATTATAAAAGCAACCAGACAGTTCTAAAGCAATTTGTGAAAGCACAACGACACCGCGGCAGCAGCAAAGCAGCAGCAATTTGACTATCACCTTGCTGTGAAGCATCAAATTAGCAGAGTATGCATGCACAAATGCACTAGTGGCTTACACTAGGGGTATTCTCGATCTGATGCATACTGTCTAGCACGGTGCACAGATAGCATATATAGCATGATTCGATAATTTTGTTGTTGTTTGATGTGTTCAACAAACAACAAAATTAGCCAATCATGCTATTTATGCTATCTATGCACCATGCTAGACTGTATGCAACGGATCGAGAATACCCCTACTGATAAGCTTTGCATTGGTGCAAGCGTCGACACATATTCATTATACGGTGTTCACATGAGTCGATTTTTCAGGAAATTTTAGAGACGATTAGTTGAATCAAAAGTTGGCTGCACCCCAACTTCATTGGAAGCGGTTAGTTGAAAAGCCGTTCACACCAGGCGATTGTTGCTTTCAACTAAAAGTTGCCTGTAAAATCGCCTCATGTGAACTAGAGCTCT